TTCCAGGACAGATTTGTTAGTTCTTTTATCAGTCCATGGTATTTTCAGCATTCTTCACCCCCATCACAACTCAAAAGCATCTATTCTCCTTCGGTCTTCCTTATTCATTGTCCAGCTCTCACATACATATGAGGTGACTGAAAATATCATGGCTGGTGTTAGGTGCACCTTAGTCCTCAAGGAGACATCTTTGCTCTTTGGCACTTGAAAGAGGTCTTCTGCAGACAATTTGCCCAGTGCTATAAGTCATCTGATATCTTGAGTGCTGCTTCTATTGACATCGATTGTAGAACCAAGTAATATGAAGTCTTTGACAAATTCAATCTTTTCTCCATTTATCATGATGCTGCTTACTGGTCCAGTTGTGAGGATTTTTGTTTTCTTTATGTTGAGGTATAATCTATATTGCAGACTGTATTCTTCAATCTTCATTAGTAAGTGCAAGTCATCCTCACTCTCAGAAAGCAAGGTGGGTCACAGGTTGTTAATGATTCTTCCTCTAATCCTGATGCCACATTCCCCTTCATATACTCCAGCTTCTTGGATTATTTGCTCAGGGTAGAGATTGAATAAATATGGTGAAAGGACACAACCATGATGCATTCCCTTCTTGATTTTAAACAATGCATTGTCCCCTTGTTCTGTTTGAACAGCAGCCTCCTGGTCTTTGTACAGGTTCCTCATGAGCACAATTAAGTGTTTTGGAATTCCTGTTCTTCTCAATATTATCCATAATTTGTTATGATCCACAAAATCAAATCCTTTTGCATAGTCAATAAAACATAAGTAAACATCTTTCTGGTATTCTTTGCTTTGAGCCAAGATCCAACTGACATCAGCAATGATACCCCTCATTCCATGTCCTCTTCTGAATCCAGCTTGCATTTCTGGAAGTTCTCTGTCAATATACTGCTACAACCACTTTTGAATTATCTTCAATAAGATCTTACTTGCATGCAATATTAATAATATTGTTTGATAATTTCCACATTCTGTGGGATCACCTTCCTTTGGAATGGGTACAAATATGGATCTCTTCCAGTCAGTTGGCCAGG